ATTATTTACAAAAGCTGTTACGCCCTAATTCCAGCTATATCTAGAGTTGCTTTATGGAGTTTTTTCGGTGGAATGAAAGGATAAGGAACAACCGACGCAACCATAGACTCTGACTAAAATTTGGGTTCCGTTTACTCAAAATCGTTACGGGTACTCACTGAGTACAAATCTGCTCGAATTTTCAAAAAAAAAATCCCCAAATATGAGTGACATTTACATGCAAAATAAATGGAATGAACATTAATTGTAAGTGAGGATTTCTTACATCCTCTGTATGTGGATGTGTTTCTTACAATGTACTGTAGAAAAAGTTTACTTGTGAAAGTAGTGGAGGGCAGTCCACATCGCCATTTAAATGTTTCGCTACAAATAACGCTTGTTGCATTTTTCTTCTGTGTTCCAATGTGTCCAGGTCCAATAGCATGCATCGGTCGCTGTATAAGGTGGTAAATTCATCGGCTCGCGCAACGGCAGGCTGCGCAAAGCAAACCTCAAAAATCTTTTCTAAACACGTTCTATTCGGAGGTTTCACACTAGCTCATATGGAGACCTAGTATGGGCCGAACTAAACTTGAAATCTCGTGCAATCTTTGAAATAAATTGACGATTCGCCTTAGAGATGATCGAGAAATAGTGAATATTGAAGGTCAACTTTGGGTCCAAAAGAACACCAATACCAGTCATACGTTCTACTCTGCGAAGCGTTACATTGTCAATGCAGTAGTCGTAAAGGATTGACCTCTTAGAGCGGTGAAACGTCACTTTGGAACGCTGATGATGAGCTTATTGCGACGGCACCAATTCACAAACAAATCTAGCAGAGCTTGAAGACGACGACAATCCTCAATCGAATGAACTATGACGCATAGCTTAAGATCATCTGCATAAACGAGCTTGCATTTAACTCCCAACAATGCTGCTACATCGTTGAAGAATAACGTAAAAGTGGACCCAGGTTACTTCCCTGAGGTACTCCAGAGGTGCTGGTAAACGTAGAAGAGACACAATATCCTAGTTGTAACCGAAGAGTTCGTCCAGTCAAGTAGGAATGTAACCACGACCTAAGTTGCTCAGGCTTTCAGATCAGTATTTACCGGGAATAAATCCATGCTGGTCAGTTGAAATGTAGTTCTTCGAGCGATTCTGGACAAATTCGCTCAAGATGATCTCAAACAGTTTGAACGCTGCTGAAAGACTGGTGATACCTCGATAGTTCTTAATATCCCGTTTATTGCCAGCTTCGAAAACAGGAAACATATACGACTGCTTCCAAAATGTTGGGAATTTTCCTTGCTCAAAGGATGCATTAAATATGGCTGCTAAAGGTTCTGCTAAGGCAGCTGAGCAACGGCAGAACACCACTGACGGAATTCCATCTGAACCAGGAGAGAGTGAGGTTTTCAGTCTCCTTGCTAGTGAAAGTACCATATCCCGAGTTACTTCGAATGTGCTCAGTTCCACTAAGTCAGAGACAGCTTCAACGTCACTTGTCATATTTTTATCGAAGACAGAAAGAAAGAGTCCACTTCCCATCGAGTAGCATGTTGGACGGTATATTCGAATCTTTCCTTTTGCTGTTGACAAAGCTACAATAATTTCGGGGGTTACGCCGCAAATTCCACCGAACTCTGAGGACGTGTGATTTATACAAGGCACTGTTAAGTTTAATGTAAATGATACTGGCACGCTTGAAGTCACGCTTCGTGTCAGCTGTTCTGTGACGACGTAGTTTTCTCTGGACTGCGTTACGCTCACGCTTCAGCACTCTAAGCTGAGAAGTACTCCAAGCTGGGGAAATTGGTCGTCACAGAGCACTTCGGTATGGTTTAATGGGCTTGGCATAATTCAGGGAATTACTTATAAGTTCAGAAAACTTTGCAAAACTTCAAATTTTTTTGCAGAAAATCAGCTAAATTCAGAAGAGTTCATCGAACTGTTAGCATATTTAGTAGAAATTAGGAGAACTTCTAAACTTCATAGAAATGTGGTTTTACTTCGACAAACTTAGTAAAAGTTCAGCAAACTTCAGGGAATTTCGTAGAAGCTCAGCAAATATCGTAGAAGTTCAGCATTAGAACTTCAGGGTGCTTCGCATCAGTTTAGAGAGCTTTGTAGCAGTTTATCAGAGAACATGTTTCAAAAAAGCTCAATGAACTACTCCCTGGATGTTCCGGCCAGTTAATATAAAAAAAATCATCATTCAATAATCAAGGTTCAGGATCTTCCCGGAAGTTTGGAGATCTTGGTTAAATTGAGATCCTACATTCTCAAAATTCATCGGTTGTCATACATGATCTGAAAGAGCTTCGTTCCCTGAGCACAATGATATTTGTTTTCGATCCCATGAACGTTCAACTCGTTTTTTGAATCTTTTTGACACATAACTAACAAATTGACAGCTCTTCCTATACTAAAATACCGCCGAAGGCCGCTAAAATGGTGATTCTCGAGCAAGAACCGATAACATATAGGGTGTCCCAGAAAGGACAGTGACGAAGGAGACGATAAACACTGAAATTTACGTTCGGCGTCTGCGGTCCACGATCCGTCAACATGATGGCGCAGTACTATTTTGGTTCGATTTGGTGTCAATACACTACTCGAAAGACACGGTAGCTTGGTACACAGCAAACAATGTGCAATACGTGCCAAAAGAGATGAATCCTACGAATTGGGTTCTTAAGGGGTATTGAGGTAATTGCATATTCGTAATCTGCATTACAAATGGAATCGAAATCCAAAATATCATCAATTTTGGAGCACTGTAACTATTTTAAATAAGTGTGATTACATAAGCAAAAATCAAAATCTTAGCGCCCCTCGATGGTACTTCGTATGGGAACGAGCTGTCAGTTTGTTAGTTTAGTGTCAAACAGTGAAGTGATTATTTTGCTTTTAATCCTGATTTAAAAATTGAGATGGAAGTAAATGGGATCGAAAAAAATATCGTTGTGCTCAGAAAACGACGCCCTTTCAGATGATGTATGAAAACCGACATATTTTTCAAAATTAAAGAACCCAATTGTCCGGAGGTCCGGTCAATCGAAACTTTTCGCCAAGGAATCTGTGCTGCTCGGATTTCTGCCAATGTAATGGCACTGTTCCAGTGCACCAAAATTGATGAAATATTGGATTTCGATTTCATTTTGTAAAGCAGATAACGAATATGTAATTACCTCAATAGCCCTAAAGAACCCAATAAAGAGAGCTTGCGAAAAAATTCTGGAATTTGGAAGATGACGTAAAAGGTAAATATTCGGGTTCTGCTGAAGCATGCAAACAACGTTACGTAAGCCATAGATTTTCAAAGAAGCAGTGAAAATTGTTCACTGTTTCTACTCATAAGTGCTGACAAATTAAAAGGCATTGTAGACACACATCAAGGTTCATGTTTGTAGCTTCGTTTAGATCATATTTAGATATTTTTGGGGTGATAATGAGAGTAATCTGAAATAAGGTTTCCACCTTAACATCGCAAAAAAAAAAACGTTTGCCTTGCATATTGCTCCAAAAGAAAAAAGTATTTGATTGACACGAATTTCCACTGTCACTAATTGAACAGAACCAGTAATATTTTTTCAAATTTTCTTAATCATTACGAGAGATTACACAAAAATATCTGTTTTCTGAACAATTTATTAATTGGATTTACGTCGCATTGTGATCTCACGGCAGTATAGGGAACTTCTTAGAAGTTGATGGAACATCCCGCAAGCCCAGGGAGCTTCGGATAAGCTCAATGGATTGAAAAGAAGTTCAGGGAACTTCGTTTGGAATCATGAAACTAACTTTAAGTTCAAGAAACTTTGTGGAACTTGAAACTTGAACTTCGTTGGTATTCCGGATTTCCAATAAAATATGAATAAACTCCGCTGGGTGTTCAGATAGTCTCCTAAGATTACTGGTTGATCATATATTAGCTTGTGATTTATTAACAAAATCTCCAGCGTCTATCGTAAATATCAGTAAAGTTTCTCTGGCTATTTTTCAACACTGTAGGTTGATGAAGTGCAGGGTTGTTACAAAAATGCCGATTGTTAATCCGCAAAATCCACGCCATGCAACTAGTTATCTACCGAATCAATGCCAAAGAAGTTTGTATGTAGGCCAAAAAATTATAAAACTTTTCCGAAGTCCAAGATGTGGATTTTGTATAAGTTAAATAACTTATTAAAAATATTAATTTTACACTGCTTTCAAGGAGTTTCAAATGTTTTCAAAATGAAGACAAGTCTTCAAATCTGACGTCTCTGCTTGGAACTGCCGTTTTAGTTATGTTTATATTGAAAGTTCATTAAATTTGCTTCTGAAGTACTTTGAAACGGGTCTACTCCGTTCGGCATAATGCCGTTTGACATACAGCCGTTTGGCAGAATTCCGTGAAAAAGTGTTATTTTAGTATTGCACAACAATAACAGCAAATTTCACCTCTAATTGGCATCACAAAGAATATTAATAGGGGAAACGCACCTATATTGGCCATGTCCTTATTTTGGCGATATTGAACGTTTTTCACAAGCTTGTGGTCTTGAGTTCTGTTAAGATTGTTGATTCAAATCATATTCATAGGGGTACACATACATATCGCCCACAAAACGCACGAATATAGTGATTCAATCGTTTTTCTGAGGTATGACCAAAATAGGAAACTATGGACAACACTGGTGCAATTACCCTATAGCTTTATTTTTAATTCATTCGGACAAACGGTGGCATTCCATTTCCCGAGTTGCCATTTCTCGGAAAATTATTTGTCTGAATGCCATTTCCCGAAATGATTCCCTGAAATTTATTTTCCCATAATAAACTGTTCACCGGAATTCCATTTATTATTTATTATTTTTATAATAATTTGCAAAGAAGGAAATATTCCCTTCCTTATAAAAGTATTAAGAGAAAACAAAATCCTAGTAGCGAGCTATCAAATTCTCATTGACGGTGCTACTATCGCTCTTTACTCCTATGGAAAATCCCTGTCACATGAAAAATTGCAGACAGTCCACTGACCGCTTAGCAGCTTCATGTACCATTTTTGTATGTATTATACCAAACAACTATTATGTCAACGACCATTCTGCCAAATGACTACTATGCCAAACGACTATTATACCAAACGGGGTACACCACTCTGCAAGAATCCCAAAAGAGTTTCCTACCGAACCTGTCTATTGTTGTTGAATACTGTCTCATTTGAATAGGAAATCAAGCAAAGATTTAACTGCTATGCTTTCATTGAGAGTGTATGTATGTGCACCTGATTGACGATGATTTAAAATACCTTAGAGTATCAGTATAATGAGATGATTCCGCAGTAGTTCTGTACATTCTTGCTGTCGCCTTTTCGTGCACTGGGTTCCTCTTAGAGTTGACAAATGGTCAGAAAAGTTTCCGATTTGTACCGTTTCCGTCGACGCACAACGTTAGATCACGGGGCGTGGGCGAGAAAGGTGAAAAAAATTCAACCATGAGGTCGTAAATCGTTTGATTAATGTGCTGATTTACGTGCTGGTGAGCCTGTCGTTCGCAAACCCATGGTTATTAGCATGATGTAAACAGTTTTTCCGTGCTGATTAACATTGGCGCATCAATTTCTGACTCAACCTTGATTGGATTATACCAATTTTGGTTAATCCGCTTTATGAACCAGCACATATGTAAACAGGCCATAAAGTAGTAATCAGCGTCGTCAACATAACCAGCTGATTCGATTGGTCGCCAGTCAACGCGGGAGACTGCGCAATTGCTCATCGAAAATCAAATGTATGAGTTTCTTCTCGTATGCCCAAGGCGTCAGGATCTAGTATGGATCAAGTAGAATGGCCCACATAAAAATTTTAATTTTCTACCTATTAGTGCCTTTAGGTGGGAAAACCACTATCTGACAGTTTCAGCTCATTTGGTTGTGGCACGAACTGAAGCCTTTGGTTCAAAGTTTATATGGGGTTTTTGGTCAAAATGTATGAGAAAATGACACCCCTTCACTCTTTCGATCATAGAGTTGGTTGATTAGATTCGATTTAGCTCAGAATTTCAGCGCTTGTTGCTACTGTAGCAAAAGTTAGTTATAGTCCCCGAACTGCAAAGCGTAGTCATTGCATTCCAAATTGGAAACAGTAGCCCAGATGGAGTTTGCATGGTCCTGAATAGTATCGATATCGTTGCGACGTTCAATTGAATCGCGTGGGTGACATCTATAACTGATCAATTTCAACGATGTCGCACTATTTTAGGCAATTGGTTGTAATTTAATTGTAATTAACTGACCATTCCATTCCTCAGATTAAATCGAAAATATCCATCCCCAAAGCCCATTAATGTTGTTCTATTCGCTTTCAAGTCACTTGAACGCCAACCATCATCAACTCACTTGAACCGTTTATTGACGTGTTTAACGTGGGATTTGAAATGGTGTGGATAGGGGAACGAATTGAATGGAGCGGCTTTCGCACCCAGCTTAAGCTTTCAAGAATATCACGCTCTGACGGTAGCTCCTAGCTCCGATGCAAATATCACGAATTAAAAGTCACAAACTACTACTATCAACTGGTAGAGGAAGCATTTCCTTGCCTGTTGGTGTTATCAATTCACGTGTGTGAGATTTTATTATTGAGAAATCGACAGTGAAACCCATTGTTTACAAATGTGAAATGTTGAACCAAATTTATTAGTTAGTTGTTGTTATGTCGGCATTCATTATTTGATGAATATGTTGTCGATGTGCGTCCTATAATTGCAAACACCACTTATCTCGAATGCATTAATCTTCTGTCTCATCCATTTATCTGTGGTACCTATGGCTGAAAATCAAAAAATGTGATGGCGCAAACCAGAAAAAGAAAACAACCAAATATTATTTACTTCTATGAAATCATAATTTCCGAACAGCAGATGTGATGTGTAACGCAATTTCTCGTACAATCAGTAGAACACAAATCAGGCTTATTGAAAAATAAAATCCAACTCACTCACCCTCAAATCACACTCTCGTCTTTTCAAAATTGTCTTTCGATACAAACTTACGTGCAAAAGTAAAACCGTACCTAATACATTAATCCTAACAAATACTGTGTGTCGGACGCAAACGCGCTAAAATCATTGGTTCTAAAACTAACATACAATACACTACACGACTCGAGCGAACCAAACAACCCTAAATAAAAAAAAATGAAGATCAAAACTACGGCTAAAATCACTTAAAACATACAACCTACCAAAACTAAACTGATTACTTAAAACGTAAAATAAAAGACAGTCTTGTACGAAAAATATCGCAGCAAATCCCCCTTCCCGCTCATCCCGCTTCGAATTTCGGCGAGGGGAAAAGCGAGAAAAATCATGTATCCATGAGAAAGGAATCGCGCCCAAAATCTCCTCATTAGGCCCCAAACTCCGCGTGCGTTCTTTGCTGGGAGCGCTGGGTTTTATATCACTTACGCGTTTATCACACCGCTGCTACTAACTGGGCGCACTGCATTTCAAACCGCCCTGCTGCCGTGCTGCCGTGCTTCAATCAACAGTGCGCTTCGGGAAACAGTCTGCAAACAATCGGTCGGAACAGGAAAACAGGGGAATACGTAAGAATGGATCTGGACTGCTTCCGCCACCAGTTGAGTGAATGAGGCCGAAATTGTGCGCTGTTAGGGAACTGAGATCATCGTACACTTGCGCTTAGTAAGTAAGTAAGTGAGTACCTACGTGTGTCGTGTTAGGCCAGAATATAGGGTGTGTGTGTGTGTTAGAGTAAGGCAACAACTGCGATTACCACACTTCACCTCTATTGCGGAACAGAGCGGGATATGCAAATTGAAACTTGTACCAGTTGCTTAGAGGGTAGATGGGCATTCGATATTACATACAACAACCTATTAGAAGATAGCGCGCGGAGGATGGAGAGGTTTAGTGAAGCTGGATGCAAAACCACACACGCGATTGATTTCCTCACAGGCTGGCTGGTCGGGATCATTGTCTCAAATATCTATACAAACAGGAATTTGTCACGATTGTTTACAGCCGAACGAGAAGGGTAGCTACTCGGTGAAGATTTATTACTCCAATAACAATAGCGCAACCCGGACACTGGTAGACAAATTATTGGAAGTGGCGTTTAGTACATGAACATGACTACGGAAGAAGCATACAATTTTTGATTTACGGTTTAGCGACTTTGTTTATGAGAAAGTTTGAGCATACTGAGAGGTAAGCACACATCGTGTTCACATCGACTGTTACTGAGTGGTTGTGGTACAAGCACATATCGTCGATAAGGGAACGCTTGCGCAAAAAGCCTAGGGTGGGAAACGGATTCGAAACTCAAATGTCATTAGCCAAATACATCCGTAGACCATATAGGTCCACCGTTGTATAATTGGCAATGCATTGGAATTGTGGGTTCGAATCCCACCAGTGCCCTTAGATTTTTTCGCAAATTTTCTCTCGCACACACACGTCTCTTACCGATGATATGTGCTTACCTCTCAGTATGTTCAAACTTTCTCATAAACGAAGCATACAACAGTATATTCGTACTTTCACGTGGCAACAAGTTGAAGGAATTCGACAGCGGGGGAAATCTCACGCGAAATCGTTTCGCTCCACACCGGAATGTGTCAAACTTGACTAGCACGCCACAAACCGGCACAACTATAAATAATAAATTTATGAACCCAGCTGTTTGCAGAAGACAGGCCGGCGTAAATCTATTTTAGGATACGGGGGTACTCCAAAATACTATTAAAAAAAAAACGTACATCCGAGCGCGGTAGACGGTGCATCAAGTGCCCGCCGTTCGTTGGAGGGTAGAGCGTGTACTTAGACCGTGAATATCTGCCATAATTCATGAATGATTTAAATGTCAAAATACGCGCAAACTTGCGAACAACGCGGTATTCGGTTGGGAGCAGAGCAACTAAAGGATTTCGGTTCGGTGTATGGCACAACGATCGAAATAGGATCAGTAGCCGGCCTCGTTACGTAAGAGATTCGCTAATGACGGCATGATGCTACGGGAAGATTACAGACCAAGACTGCGGCAGTGCACTTGCTACGTGGCGCGTTAATAATTAGGCTGACTGAGATGACTTCATTACGACGACGAATGTGACGCATTTTGCCGCGCGTGTGTGTGTGTGTGCTCCTTCTATTTCGATTGGATTAGTACCGATGTGGAGAAAAATATTAGTTCAGTTTTACACAGGAAAGGAGAAGAAAATATAAAACACAAAAGAGTGTGGGTACTTGAAGGGTTGATTTATTTGCTAAATTAGGAAAGTCTTCCACAGTTAAAACACAGGTTAAAAGTTACACTAAAACTAAACATAAATAAGATAAAAGCCACGGTCGTTAAGCTTGCTTGCCTTTTTTTTTAGAGATTTGTTAAGTGGTAAAACTTAAGCCAGTAGGTATGCTTTGCTTTTGTACATATGGAACGCTTTCGCGTTGGGATTAACCTAAAAAAAACTACACAATGGAAAGCAGTTTTCGATATGATTGCTAAGGTAAAAATGCATTCGTTTGAGTTGGATTGAGTCATGCTTGAACCGTTTTTTTATTGGATTGTGAACAGGATGTAGCGTACAGGATGCAAAGTTTTTACAGAATATCTATCTGAAATATCAAAATATTTTCAAAGTTAACAAATGTTTTCCAAAATAAAATTTGTGTACTCCTTGGTTGGTATAAATAGTTAGCTAAGTGATATACAAACTTTTACAATCAAAATTATATAATCGAAAAAGTTGATTGTAACAGCAATTGCTATAACTTTGCCAAAAACGTCACATTACATTCAATGAGGCAGCATAAATTGGGCACCTCATTTCAAGAGGAATTAATCACTGAACAATCAAAAGCGAATGGTTTCGCATACTGAACCACTTTGCTGTGGGCCCCCCCTGTGGATTGAAATCGGCATTTAATTCACAATCGTTAAATGACAGACTGAAAAATTGATGAAACCATTAGAGAACCCCGATAAACCCCATTTAGTCTGCAAGAGTAGGGTTCAAAGCCTTCCCAAAGCATTTCGTTGTGGGTTCTTACCTCTTTCTTCAAAGGATCGTGTTGCAGTAAGATGGCTACAGCTGATTGAGCGATCTTGTTCGTTTAAACAGAAATACCGACTACCCCGTGAGATTCCCATAAGTAATTTTACTTTTTACTTTGCTCTTCGTTTTAGGGGCCTAATATATTGAAGAGTTCAGCATAATTTAGCGTACTGTACTTGATGCTCCATTGCAAGTGCAGGCACAATATTCGCCTTATTTGACCACAATATCAACCTAAAGCAATGAGCATTGGACGCCTGAAAGCTTCTGTCTTAACAGGGAATATATAGATATTCATCGTGGCTTCACGTAACTCAAGTTTTTACCTGTACACCAACTTTAAAAACTTGATATCTAGCAATAATTACATTCAAATCGGTTGCAAAAGACACATAATCTTCTAGTTTTACTGATATTCACCGATTGCAAGTAATATTTTGAGATTTGTGAACGTTTTGAGAGCTGGTTCACAGGTAAATTGAGGTTAGGGCGACAACACTGTCATTCAGCATATGTACAAGCATCCTCAAACGCTAATATGTATTATGAAGGAGTACCATACTGCCGGTGACGGAAAATTTATCGCTCTATGTTTTTTGAGCTGTGCTATTGAAAACAGCTGGTTTGTGCAAGAAAACTGAAAAACAATAACAAGTCAAATTGTCCCACAGCGAGAAGTAATCGCAAGTTAGTCCCATTAGGAAAACAAACTATGAAACAACGTCACAGCTATGTTTTAGGCTTGCTTGCTTAGAATGTTAGACATCATATCGCATCATGAAATTTGACTCAAGCCAGATTCTGTGCACTTTCCCGATGGAATCCGGAACATACCCGGATGTGGCCAATATAGTTCTTACGACTCTTAATATGACCGCTGATGGTTATGACTTTGAATTCTCATGTGATTTGATGCGTCACATGATGTATTTTGTTTAAAAAAAGGTTTTACCACTCCCCCTGGGTTACCGGGAACATGTCCGGGTGTGGGTTACTCATTATGACTCTTATTGATCTTATTCAGGAATTCTCATGTGGGTTTGGCTCGTTTTTGAAAATATCTGGTCTCAAGACCCATAATCGCTGGAATATGTTCCGGCCATAGCTCCGCAACCAGCGGAATTATTCCAAAAACATTCAGTAACGTTCTATGGGATCATGGAGTCTTTCTACTGTTCAATAGTGTGCTAAACTAATGCAGCATCGTCATCACATTCTATCACATTGCAAGTTTATGCAAGATTATCCCTCCAAAATAAGAAAACTTGACAAATCTGTGAACGTTTTCTCATTTCCGGTTTTTTTACAGATGGGACTGGCTTGCGGTTAAGGGCAGTATACTTTCCGATACATTTTATAGTCACCCCAGTATTGTGGGTCACCCACAATTATGGGCCACTTCCATTTGATTAACACGCAAAACTGACTGACTAATAATAGTGACTAGCTGACCTATAATACTGAGGTGACTGTATTTTGGACAGGTAATCTAGAGCGTCACAATATCAGTTGCAATCGATAAAGTCGATGCGACGAAGGGACTGGTAGTTTTTTGTTGAATTCGAGCAGCATTCAATTGAATACAATTGAATACAAACACATTTTCAGTTTTTCTTTCTTCCATACTTTCAAGCTTCGGTGCAACGGACGAGTGAAAAAACGCACGACTTTGGTCAGTTCGTCTTTCATGAGGCATATCAACCGACCTTTTATGACATGTGAACACTTAAAAATTACACGTAATATGTTTAATTTATCTTCCATCCACATATTTTTCTACAAAAAAATTAACGAAAACGGGACATAACACATATTAAATCCCGTGAAAGAGCAGGCAACAGAGTGTCGGTGAAAGGGATTGAAAGCCAAATTGAGGCTTCGTTTCAACTCGAAAATCGAAGCTACTTCCATTGAAAGGAAGTGAGCGAAGCAAGACGAAAAAATCAACAACTAGCTTTTCGCTCTTAGCGAGCTTCTTTTGTCATTTTCGTTTGGCGTTGCTAGACTAGACAGGCGTTATGGAAATGATGTGTTAAACACGTTGCCTGACAGAAGAAGAAAACTCATGCTCATTTCAGAGCTTCGAAAATGTAGAGCCCCGACTCTGCAACAGATAGTTGGTTTACATATTCCTCAGTTTCTGATTTGAACCGATTTTATATAATACGAAAACGATACCGTAGCAAGCCTTCGATGTCTGAACGGACTCCCAATGCAATGTGGCTGCTTCAAAAGTGTTCCACAAAACGTTTGTCGGGAACAGTACGTATCCAGTGGCCACCGTAAGAAGCCAACTACTGAGTGCTGTAGATATCCTCCTTGTCAAAATATATGGGAGAGGTTTTCCGGTCTTCCCGTTAGGAACGTTGTCAAACGAATCACAGAAAATTTCTTTTTTGAGGCCTCTTCTGATAATGCCTCTAGAGACGTTCGGGAGAATTCACCTCACGGAGTCATTATTTACTTTTTTCCTTTGTTTTTAGGAATGAGCT